TGGGGTCGTATTGCTGTTAAATTAATTGTTCAAAAATATACATTTCACACTCAGTAATAATTGTCCATTGTGAGAATATTTATGGGATTGAGTTGCGCAACGCAACAGGCCATAATGGCTTTATACATCATTATTATATGGATCGGGGCTGCCCGCTTGCAGCAGGCCTTATTGGCTTTACTATTTTATGGATCGGGGCTGCCCGCTTGCAGCAGGCCTTATTGGCTTTACTATTTTATGGATCGGGGCTGCCCGCTGCCGCAGGCCTTATAGGCTTTACTATTTCATAGATAGGGGTCGCCCGCCTGCAGCAGGCCTTATTGGCTTTATTATTTTGTGGATCGGGGTTGCCCGCCTGCAGCAGGCCTTATAAGCTTTATTATTATACGGATCGGGACTGCCCGCCTGCAGTAGGCCATAAAGGCTTTATATCACGCTTGGGCTGAAGGAGCCCCTCTGGAGTCTCTATACCCCCAGTGAGTGTAGATGATTATATATATTCGGGATGGACTTTCTAGGGCATAGACTTGCCTTACTTACGATGATTATATATATATATTCGGGATGAATTTCCCAGGGCATGGACTTGCCTTACTTATTTGTATTGTAATGAGTTTACCTAGACATGGATCTTGTCTGTATCAGTTATATTTGGAGATAAAATTATCCCAGGACTGGATTGGTCTTATACGGTACTGGGTGACTGACTGCCAGTCGATGTGTATTTATATACGGGTTGGAACTTGGAACACCCCTGGGCTGGATTGGCCATAAAAAGCATCGAGTGACCGGATAATTTGTGACCAGTATTTACATGAGGTCTTTCGAGTGAGATGTCACATTCCTCATATCATGCAGTATTGATCTATTTCGCTTGTACTGAGTTTAACTGTTAAACTTGAAAGCATGCCTACATTTTGTATCATTATTTATAATGGACTGTATCTGCGGAGCTCGTCGCTACTTTTAGCCCAGAGGTTAGTCTTGTTACTTATTGAGTTAGTTGTACTCATACTACACTCTGCATCTCGTGTGCAGATTTCAGGTGCTCCCGGATACGGCGGCTGCTAGATTTCGAAGTTAATTCTGTTGGGAACTATCAAGGTAGATGCTTGACGTCCGCAGACTCGATTCCTTTCCTTTTTAATTATTGTACTGTTCTATATTTTCAAACACCGATTTTTATCCGTCAGACTTTGTATTCATATTAGATGCTCATGTACTCAGTGACACCGGATTTTGGGAGCGTTATATTTGTATTTGTGAGATTTCTTCCGCTGAATTTAATTATTATGTTTTCAAATTTTAAAAGATATAGTAGTTTATTGAGATTGTTGGCTTGTCTAGTATTGAGATAGGCGTCATCACGACATGTGAGATTTTGGGTCGCGACATGAAGATATTACACCTAATTACATACTGACCAAAGTGAGATAAACATACCAAAACTGTATAATTATACCCAATTAAACTCAAATATAATTAGAGGGTGACTTTCCAAACATGCCCTAAAAAAATACTTTTGGCCCAAAATAACTTGACCAACCGGCTATTAATTCCATCTACTATAATATTCTTTTTATTTTTGTGAGGTAAATTTCGAGGTAGCATTTTACGAGGGGTAGATGTTTTTTATGATTGGCATGTTTTTTTGTTTTTTTTGGTCAATTTGTTAGAATATATTGTAAATATTCACCTTACAAATTGAGGTAAATTAACACCCTCTATCTTATACTAAGAATAGAGCCAACAGATAAAAGTGGAACACAAAACCATAGGATAATCAAAATTAAAGACATTTCAGGGAAATGATGCATTCACCTAAAACTGATGGTTTAAAACTTGGAAGCAGTGATGTACTAATATTTATATTTTAAATGTGTAAAATTGATAGTGAATGGTTCAAGAACTATAATTTTTCAAAAGAGGGGTCATTTTGGTCATAATGTTTTAACAGTAGGTCGCCCATACGATCAGCGACCTACCTTTCTGCTTTTCTTTTCTTTTTCTTTTCGGAAACTGCCTATTATTTTAACAGTGGGTCAACTTTATTACAACTTTGATATTACTTAATGGAAAAATGATATCGTATAGTCGCTCTCAAAATAATAATCGAAAAATATATTGTATATATACATTCTGTATGTTACATACAAATTTTATACATATTTTCGATTATCGAATATAAATAATTTCTGGCACGGACTAAAAGTGATAATACCTTCTTTTTTTAAATTTGGGAAGAATTTAAATTTGCCCACTAACATACCAAAAATTCTAAACTTGGCCCACTAACTTATTAGTTAGTGTATGCGTCTCGCTTTCTATTGACATCCTTTTATCTTATCTTTTTTTTTTCTTGTTAAGTTTTTAGAAGATGTTGTAAGTATTCAACTGTTCACTTCAAAAATTAAGGTAAATTCACACCTTTTCACATACACTCTACAAGAATAAAATCAACAAGTTGAACATAAAACCATAGTCTAATGAAAATAAAACTAAAATATATCGGTTGAAAGAATGCATTCACCAAAGATAGAGCGAGAAAGACGCGAGCACGAACGAACAATGTAGCTTATGCTTTTCTTTCATCCTCACTACCATCTATATTTTTCGTAGTAACCATTGCGCTAACATTTTATTAACGCCTACTCCTTATTTAAAACTTCAGGGGTCGTTTGATTGAGAAATAAGTTATCCCAGAATTAATTATCCTGAGAGTGTTATCCCTCCATCTCGTAAGGATTAAAATAACATTATAAGCATGGGATAACTATTCCCCATATTTGTTATATCACGATTTTATCCCAACCAAACATGAGATAAATTCATCTCAAATTTAATTTTAGAATTAATTATCTCTTACTTCTCGTACCAAATGTGCCCTCAAAATATAAGTTGATCACCAACACGTCACTTACTTATAGAATACACAATTAACCTTCTATTTGGAATTTGGAAAACCTAATCGCTTGAACTAGATTCAAGATATTTGCTTTCGACAAAAAATTCTTGTCACCTTTTTCTTTTTGAATTGTTTCAAAAGATCTATCCATCCTTTTAATTAGGAAAGTTGATATACTTGAATGAAAAGTTTATGGAATCTAATTTTTTTCAATAATCACAATTTAACCTTATTAGCGTCTAGAGATCAAATATGACTCCCTATGTTATTATTAAATATCTTAATTTGTAACTCTTATCTTAATTATACTAAGAAAAAACATCATAAATACGATCTACTAGTCAATAGACGCAATTAGTAATATCACCTATAACCTAAATGTTGGATTTGGTTATTGACATCCTTGACTCTGCCACAAAACACTACATTCACCTCTTACCATCTTTACAATTACAAGAGTCAGATTCAATGACAAAATCAAGAAAACCATACTGAACTCACCATCCAAGCCCTCGTTAACATTGCCCTTGCTTCAACATGGTAGTGTATATGCAGACCTTACCCTTACCTTGGGGTAGAGAGACTGTTTCCGATAGACCTTCGGTTCCCTCCCTCCAAGAACTCCCACTTTGCTCTTGGGGTGACTCGAACTCACAACCTCTTGGTTAGAAGTGAAGGGTGCTCACCATTAGAGCAACCCAGTACACTATTGAAGGTAAACACTGCTTGACAGTTGCGTCCACCATTTTGTTTCTTTTGCTCAACCACCATTGTATCAAAGTATATCTGAGATTACCTTTGGCAAAAGGCACACCACATAACACAATAATAACAAACCCAATAGTTTCCCACACGTGGGGTCACGCAGCCTTACCCCTACCCTAGAAGGGCAGAAAAATTATTTCCGATAAAAGGTACACCACATACATTATTAAAATGTGTGCAGCCTTACCCCTACCCTGAAAGGATAGAGATGTTGTTTCTGATAAAAGTTACACCATATGCATTATTAAAATAATTTCACACATTGCAAGCAATTTACCTATCTCCTAATAAACGATTCCTAGTCTCTACAAAGGATGGCAATTGAGGCGGGGCAGGGCATGGTGGGGGCAAGGCAACCTTTGACCCACTAAGATTTTGACCCGCCTTGCCCTGCCCCGTTTAGCCTTGTTCCAAAATTTTGTCGTGCCCCGCCCTGTCCCGTTTAGAATTCACTTTCACTTTTTGCTTCTTTTCTTTTTTTCATTTTCCAAGTAAATACTTTGTCTTATCATATATTTATATAAATACCATATTTTACATCCACTTTCCCAGTATTGCAATTACATGTGTATCATATATAGATGTTGTCTTTATAAATATTGACAATTAAGAAGGAACTTCAGCATTCTTTTTAAAATTTTATCACGAATTATAAATTGCTAACAATTAAAGTTGGCAATAGTAAATGTCACGGTTGAAAATCATACAACGCATGGCTTCTCTCACTCTCAAGATAACGCATAGCATTATGTATACTTTGGATTGTCTATTTCTTTAATTGTAGCTTCCATGTCACATTCATCAATACGTAGAAAATTCTACTATCCTTTAAAGGTATTATCCTAAATTTGCGTCTGTGATATCCTCTAGCTACTTTAATATCAATTTATGAAAGAAAAGAAGACATGCACAATGAAGTAAGCAAGGAACGAACTGGATCTCATGCTACCTAATGACCCACTATTGGGACTAAGGGCTGACCTACAACCTGCCCTGCCCCATTAAGATTCTTTAAAAATGTAGTTTTGCCCTGCCCCCGCCCCGCCCCATTTACATATTCCGCTGCCCTGTCCCGTTTACTGTTTACCCCGCCCGCCCTAATTGCCATCCCTAAGTAGTACATCAGGTTACACTAGCCTATCTAAGGTAAAAGTTTAAGGGTACTTTAGCCACAATAAGTAAAACAAGTGAATGGTCAATGGCTCAAGGAATTGGATTTGAAAAATTGGAACATGTAATATGCACCACTGTTTTTCAAATTGAATTATTTGTTTAAATTCTGCTATAGTACAAGGATGATTAGAAAAGAAATTCAAAATTGCTAAGCAAGTGAACAAACTTTAGGCACCTTTTCATTTTTTTTATAAAAGTAAATATAAGAAAAAGGATGAAAACACACGATTACGATCCAAGCTAGTAGGCCATGTCTATTTCTGAACAAGTAAGATGAAATAACTAAAGAAAGATGTGTGATCAATTAAAAATTGTTTTTTGATGATCGAGAAATCCACGAGGCCTAGTGGCGCACGGCTCAAATATGGATGGATAATGAGCCTACCCATCTACCCTTCTCCACATTTTTGTCTGCGGTAAGATTCAAACCCATGACCTGTACATCGCCTGTTGTATCCTTGCCACTAGACCAAAGCCCTGGCAACATTTTTCATGTAATATCAGCAGTAAGAAATGGAGTTTCAATAATCTAGAAGTTATGAGTAGGGCTTTGGAACCTCATCACTGCAGAACTGACAGAAAGTCAAACATACACTAAGTTTACTAGGTTCCAACTGAAATTCGCTTATGAAGTGGCTGTTAATTAGTGAGATCTAAGATCCAGTAGATTGAATAAAAAGGAGCAATCCCCTTGAATATTAATTAGGACTAAATTCATGTCAAAAGTCAAAAAGGAGAAGAAATATCCCATTTTTAATTCAGTGTCACAACAATAAAAACTTTGATCAGTTTTGGGTGTTCCCCTTTTTGTCTTACTATTTAGGATTTAGGGGGCCAGCTATAACACTCAAATTAGTGCATTTCCATTCTCTGGTAATTGCTATATAGAATAAAATAGCATCTTTTAGATACGAATGGAGTATTTCTACCCAAAAATTTTGAAATGAACTTTAAAAGACTTAATCTTTTGCTTAACTTTTTCCAATTGTTCTTTCACTAGCTGTAGTTCTGAAAACTAAAAGGTAAACAAAACTAGAAATATTGAAGAAAGCTGCGGCTCAGATATGTACTCAAGACAGAGAGAGACCCGGGTCTGGTTTCAAGATTGAGGCATGATTGCTTGAAACACTGGTTTTGATGCTTATTGAAAACACAGACACGCACGAACAATTCAACACCAGCGTGATGCAACACTACAACAAAATGCTTTCTCTTCGAACTTTATAACCTGAAGGCCGCATGCTAGATCACAACCCTGCATTGAACCAAGGAAAAGGTTTGTTTTCTAAGCAAATTGAGGCTCAAATCTATCTTAGAACAAGGCAAAGAGAAGCCCACCACATCATGGCTGCAAAACAAAGGTTGCATAAGAGAGAGAAACCTTAACACAAACCATATTGAGTTGCCAAGCCAACAGGACTGGTCGTCTCCGTGTAAATTGATTGGCCCAGAAAAGAAGGTACTAGAAGTATCATCACAGCCCCATTTACGTGTACTCCAAGCAAAAGCTGTTCGAACTCAAAAGCCAAGGGAACACAGAAGATACACACAAAGGCCATCAAAGACAGAGTAAAACAAAGTTACTACTCTGCAGGACTAAAATTGATTCTTTTAAATTAAAGCTATTATCACATAGAAAAGATTTTTTTAAAAAAAAATAAACATGAACAACCTCTCTTGAGAAAAATACTCATTTTGACCCCTATATTGCCTCTTTTATTCGACATCTGAAGATTAAGAAAAACAATCCGGTGCAATATGTGTATTGAACAAGAAAATGCAGGTGACACAAAAATGTGAGGCTCAGATCTGCAGAAAAGATCAGGCAAAGAAAAGTTAACCACGCCATGGCTGCAAAAACATCATTTGTATGCGAAAGAGAAAACAACTTAAATAACTGGCCAATGCCATTTCAGGAAGGGGAAAAAAAGCATATTGAGGCTGAGTCAGGGCAGATAGAGAGGTTTAGGCATGGGTTCATCTGAACAGTAGCTTTGACTCAAACCCTCTATATGTGTTAAAAAGTTTACTAAATAAGTACAAATACTTGATTTTCAACACAGTATATCAAATGAATTGTAAAATCTTGAACTCGAACCCACAAAGTTCAAATACTAGATCAGCTTTGCGCCTAGATGTGTTATGATAAGGAAAAACAAAAGCTAGCCATGACATGGCTTCAAAACACCAGTTACACATGAGTGAGAAGAGTCTCAATCACAGGCCATACAGGGTTGCCACGCCAAGATATGGGGCGGGTAATCTCCATGCCCGAAATAAATAGCCCAGATACAAAAAAAATCATCATCACTGCCTGCCTCTTTTAAGAGCTTTCAAAGCCATGAGACAGACTGATGATCTGAAGGTGTGTTTGGGTTTTGAGTACACATAAAGGGTGCAAAAACGCAAAGAAATCCAGAAACTGAAGTGTGCTCTCTCTCTCTTTCTTTTTTAAATTGTTTGTTAAACATGGAGAATCATAGACAAAGCGGGGAAACCACCCTTGAAAGAAATCCCATTCTATAGCCTCGTTCTAGCCATTTCTGGGATAATCCATTCATCTAGAGAACTTTTAACAAAAAAGGACCATGAAAAGCATTAAAACATGTAATCAAAAGGGTGTGGGTTCGATGTCTCCCACATCAAATTAAGGAAGAGATATTTTCTTTAGAAAATTGAGGCTCAGATCTGTCATGATAAGGCAAAAGAGAAGCCAACCACGCCGTGGCTGCAAAACACCGGTTGCAGGTCAAAGGAGTATCAATCACAAGCCATACTGAGTTGCCACGCCAAGATACGGTCACATAACTCCATGCCCGAATTACTTAGCCCGGATATAAGAAACATCATCATCACTGCCTCTTTAATGAGTTTTCAAAGCCATGAGGAGACAGACTGATGATCTGAAGGTCGTAGTATAGTTGTGTGATTACACCAAAATCCATGCTGACCAAGTAATTACTTGGCCATACAAACAATAAAAAATGCACACAATTACACCCTAAATCCACTTACAAGGTGGCTTTCCAAACAGAGGGTGCAAAAATGCAAAGAAACCCAGAAATGGAAGTGTTGTCTCTGATTTTTACTGACTCTTTAAGGGCTGTTGGTTTGTTGAACAGAGAGAATCATAGACAAAGCAGAGAGGGGCAACCACCCTTGAAAGAAATCCCGTACTCTCTGTTGCCTCGTTCTCGTCATTTCTGGGCTAAGGGAATTAGCTTAGATGGAGGATCATATAGTGAATTTCAATTACTGATAAAAAAAATGGATTTAAAACCAAAAAGCATTAAAACTTTTAACAAAAAGGCGTGGGTAATATTACGTCAATATACAATAACAACAAACCAAGTATATTCCCACAAGTGGGGTCTGGGGGATTTCCACATCTATATGGAAAAGATAATAATTTCTTTAGCAAATTGAGGCTCAGATGTGTTGTAATGTCAAAGACAAAAGAGAGGCCAACCACGCCATGGCTGCAAAACACCGGTTGCATGTGTGGGAGAGAGAAGAGTCTCAATCACAGGCCATATCAGGTTGCCACGCCAAGATATGGGTCGGGTTATCTCCATTCCCGGATTAGTTAGCCCAGATATTGAAAAAATCATCATCACTGCCTCTTTAAAAGATCTGAAGGCTGCGTAGTTGTTGACTTGTTGTATAGTCGTGAGAGTATACATTAAAAGGGTGCAAAATGCAAAGAAACCGAAATACTGAAGTGCTATTATATGTCTCTCTTTCTTTTTAACGGGTTGTTGGTTTGTTGAAAAAGGAGGATCATAGGCAAAGCAGAGAGGGGCAACCACCCTGTAAAAAATCCCATACTCTCTGCTGCCTCATTCTCGTCATTCCTGGGCTAATCTAATAAACATAGTTCATTTAGATGAGAGCTATTAACCGAAGAGACCTCACAAGTCTGCATTTAAAAGAATATCTCAACTTCAACTCAATATTTGTCCAAACGCCTACTAATGTTCTTCAGCAAATTGAGGCTCAGACGCATATAATGACAAGGCAAGAGAGAAGATAGCGACGACATGGCTGCAACACCGGTTGCATGAGAGAGAGAGAGAGAGAGAGAGAGAGAGAGAGAGAGAGAGAGAGAGATTCAACCCCACAATTGATTTCAAGGCATCATAAAAGTAAGGACTGCAAAATTTCAAACAATTGTCAATTATATGGTGCGCTTCCATGGTTAAAGGTGGATATCATTTTAAAGTTTCTTCTTTTCAAGTATAATAAACAGCTATCAGAACGAATCACTTAGTCATTGGCAAATAGTCCGTGCAACAGCAAAAAATGAAGGCATCTGATTCAATCTGAAACCTGATAAGAAACCGACTCTCAAACCTATCTAACAGATGATTATCATATNCTAGTTTCCAATCACTGGCCATACTGGGTGCCACGCCAAGATACGGGTCGGGTCATCTCAATGGTCAATAATGAGGCCAAAAATAGAAAGATTCATAAGCATCATCATAGTCCATTTCTGTAGTAAAACACATCATAAGGGAACAGTTTCAAGTTTCCATTAACAATGAGACAGCGAGAGTAAACTGAAAGAAACATGCAAAGGGCCATGAACAGAAAGACTGAAGATCTGAAGGCTGTTGAATTGACGTGGTATACTTGTATATTGGGGAAATTTCAAAAGTCATCGAGAAAACCAGAAACTGAAGTGCTATGTTTCTCTTTCTTTCTCTTAAGGGCTGTTGGTTAGTTGAGAAGGGGGAGAATCATAGACAAAGCAGAGAGGGGCAGGCAACCACCCTTGAAAGAAATCCCATATTCTCTGTTGCCTCATTCTCGCCATTTTCTGGGCTAATCCAACAAGAGAACTTCTAACCGAAAGCTCGTGTAAGTCTGCATTAAGAATCTAACAATTCCTTTTCATCAAAAGGGAAAGTAGTTTTCACTTTTTTTCACCATTGTCCTTCTCTTTCTCCGGGCATATTTAAAAGTTATTTCCATCTATTATTAGATATCTATCTAGAAGTGACACTCATGAGTACATAAGCAGGCTCAGATCTGTCATAAATTCAGGTGAAAGAAAGGGACACCGCATGGCTGCAAACAAGGATGGCATGCTAGAAAGGAAAAGACTCTGCTTACAATATCCTGGTTTACCCCGCCAGATATGAATCCAGCAGACCCAAACCCAATGAAGTCAAGAAACTTTATCATCACGGCCTACAGATAAGAAACAGCAATAATGCTCATAGTGATTGAAATTTGTGAAAAGGAAAAGATATGGACCCAGAAAGAAGAAGCACATAGTGTGAGAAATATGGCAGATAGTGAATAACCATTAGAGCGCTAGCTAAGCATGAAAGAAGGGGTGCTGCTTTGTCAGTAGCAGAATACAGAGATATCACATACATGCTGATGGGAGGCAACACCCTTAGAAATTTTCCATCCATAAGCAGCCTCATTCTGTTCTTGAGTTGAGTATTCCAGTTTCTGTTTATGGTGTAGAAATAAGAGCAGAGCACCTGTCAACAAAAGGAAGGAAGAAAAAAAAAAGAGGATCAGAGAAGATGAAAGGTGAGGCTATGAAGGCAAAATCTCAAATGTCATTTAGTAACTAAGTGGGTACATTACCGTTCCTAAGAATTGATTATTTGTTATCATATAGGAGTACTTTTTAATAAGGTTATTTCTTATTATCATAGACATTTTAAATATAATCCGGTTGTCTTATTATTTCATATTATATATTCTTAACATTGAGGATCAATTCTATGTTATCATCAGGCAAAGAGACAAAGCCATGCCATGGCTGCAAAACAATGGTTGTTTGCAAGAGAGAAGATTCTCAATCACAGGCCATATTGGGATGCCAAGTCAAAATATGGATAGGTAGTTTTCGTGCACATTGATTAAGCACAGAAAAGAAAGAAGTAGAAGTATCATCACAATCTCTTTCATATCAAACAAACACTAGAAAACATTTTCCATGAAAAAATGACTCCCCTCAAACTATGCACACTACAAGAAGCAGAATAACACACAAGATAGAGCTAAATCAAAGTGGGTTTTACAACCCAATTACACAGACAATTTACAAACATAAGGAGGTTGCAGTTAGTTGGTGATGCTATAAGCTTAAAAACCTTGAACAAAGAATTCAGCAGAAAAAATAAAAAGAGATCATCTGATGAAAAAAGTGAATTCCGTCAATGACGTTCCCAGTATACCAGGTTACAGTTCTACTGAAAGGGGCTGTTATATACAGAGAAAACAAATTAGAAAATTTGAGTTTGTAATTCTAACCAGTACAAAACAATATAACACGTTATTTTTTACCTTGCGTGTGCGAAGAGCAGAATCATTCACCAGTAGCCCAGCTGTTTCTTTCTAGACCGCAACAAAGTCTACGAAGCCAAACACCGAAACAAGCTTTTTTTACGCCCATCCAAACATCCTCTTAAAAAATGCGCTTAAAAGCTACTTAAATTCAGCTAAGTCAAACATGCTTTTACTTTAATTTTGATGCTCAGATCTGTGATAAAATCAGTCAATGTAGAAAATGCAACCGACATGGCTGCAACCTGGTTGCAACCATGCCTTCCGGATCGCCCAGCCAGGATACGGGCTGCTCCAATGCCGGACCAACTCTGGACACCTTTCGACATTTCATCACAGCCTCATCCCCTAGAAGATGATGCAAAAAGGTAATATTTTTTTCAAATTGAGGCTCAGATTTGTGTCATGGAAAGGCAAAAGAGAAGCCAACCATGCCATGGCTGCAAAACATTGAACACCGGTTGCATGTGTGAGAAGAGTCTCATCCACAGGCCATGCCGAGTTGCCACGCCAAGATACGGGTCAGGTAATCTCCATGCCCGAATTAGTTAGCCCAGAAATAGAAAAGAATCATCATCATCACTGCCTCTTTTAAGATCTGAAAGTCGCATAGTTGTTGTGTAGTATAGTTGTGAGTATTGGGTCTTTGAGTTCCATTAGGGGTGTAAAAATGCAGATAAACCCAAAAAACTGAAGTACTCTCTCTCTTTCTTCTTTCTTTTTAAGGGCTGTTGGTTTGTTTAAAAAAAGAGAATCATAGGCAAAGCAGAGAGGGGCAACCACCCTTGTAAAAAATCCCCTAATCTTTGTTGCCTCATTCTCGCCATTTCTATACTAATATAGCAGGTTTTCGAGAAAATGATCAAAATAGTTCTTAGTGTATACGGGTTGGACTACTATTTTGGTTCACAATGTATACCCTTAACAGAAGTAATCCTTGAAGTATGTAAAACGTGTAAACTTTTAATTCACAACAGTTTTATTCAACACTCCAGTTAAACTTAACTGGGTAACAAATGCAGTAATTGCTTCAATTTTGAGGCTCAGATCTGAGAATAAAATCAGGCAAAGGAAACAAAGCAACCGCCATGGCTGCAGACCTCTATCAAACAAGCCTTCGGGGTTGCCCCGCCAAGATACGGATCGCTCCAATGCCCAACACAACCCTAGACACCTTTAATCATCACAGCCTCTTCATCCGTCACATTAAATGCTCTTAGGCAATATGTTCTGCTTATTCCCAAACACCAAAAATAAGTGTTTTTCAGAAAACATTTTCCTTCATACCAAACACACCCAATATTTTTCTTCAGCAATCTGAGGCTCAGATTTGTTGCTATGATAAGGCAAAAGAGAAGCCAACCACGCCATGGCTGCAACACCAATTGCATGTGAGAGGGAAGAGTCTCAACTCTCAATCACAGGCCATACCGACTTGCCACGCCAAGATACGGATTGGGTCATCTCAGTGCCAAATCGGTTAGCCCAGATATAAGAAACATCATCATCACTGCCTCTTTAAGATCTAAAGGTAGCATAGTTGTTGCAGTATAGTTGTATGTATTGGGTTTTGAGTATGCATTTAGGGTGCAAAAATGCAAAGAAACCCAGAAAACTGAAGTGCTATCATCTCTCTTTCTCTTTTTCTATTTTAAGGGCTGTTGGTTTGTTTTAAAAGTTGGAGAATCATAGGCAAAGCAGAGACGGGCAACCACCCTTGTAAAAAAATCCCATACACTCTGTTGCTTCATTCTCTCCATTTCTGGGCTAATCCAATTCAAATGGAGGGTAATATAGCAAGTTTTCCAAAGAATGATCAAGTAGTCTGTACAGTACGTAAAAAGCGTACACTTCTCTTGAGAAAAATGATCCGTCATCTTTGAGGAGGTTTATGGGTCCTTTAATATACACAAAAAATCTAACAAAAGTGGTCTCCTTCCATTTTTAAAAGGGAAAAGGGCCAAATAAACCCCTCAATTTTGAGGTTCAGATCTGTGATAAAATCAGCAGAGACAATGCAACCACCATGGCTGCATACCACGGTTGCTACCATGAAGATGCCTTCCGGGTCGCCCTGCCAAGATACGGGTCGTTCCAATGCCCGATCCAGCTCTAAACACCTTTAATCATCACAGCTTCATCATCTGTCACAGTAAAAGCCTGCCATGAGGAAGAGGAAGAGGAAAAGGAGGAAAGAAGTGAAGAAGCAGATTATGGGGTCAGATAGTAAACCCTAAACTGTAAAATTGGGATTTACAGTTGCAAGTTTAAGGGGCAATCTATGTCCATTTTTAACAATGGTGGTTTATTAGTACAGCAAAATGGAAAAGGAAATCATAGGCAGAAAACAGAGAGAGGGCAACCACCATTAATGACTCCCCACTGCCTCTCTGCTGCCTCATTCTTTCAGTCTAGAGTTCGTGAGAATCACTTTCAACACAAATGTCCATTCTTTCACCATTTTAGTCCAAAATATCAGAGAATTTTAACTTAGAACAAAAACTTCCTTGAAACAAATCTATTCACCTTTATTTAAAAAAGATAAAATTGTTTAATATGTAATCATCTACGTGACTGGAAAAAAGGCACCGTACGTATGTAAATTGTAATATAATGACTTCAATCACTATCTTTACAGAAATTTCGAAACAAAAGATTCAGCAAACTAAAATAAAAAGCAATTGTAACTTCATTAAAGGAATTTTAAATTATTTTTTTGGGGGGGTAGGGGTGGGGTGGGGGTGGTATTTTGAGGCTCAAATCTGTGATAAAATCAGGGCAAAGAAGACAAAGCAACCGCCATGGCTGCAAACCTCAGTTGCACTATAAAAATAGGCCTTTCCGGGTCACCCCGCCAAGATACGGCTGGCTGCTCCATTGCCCCGACGCGAACTCAAGACAACCTTAATCATCACAGCCTCATCTATTACAATAACAATAAGAATAATGGTAATAATAGGCTGAGTACATACGCGGCCCCTTATATATATACACTTTCGATTATTGTCGAAAGTTTCAGATCAGGGCTCAGAACCAAACGACCCCTTAAGAAGAATGGTGGTTTATTGTTACTTTTTTATTTGGGAAAAATGGAAAAGGAAATTACAGGAACCATTAGAGACTCCCCACTGCCTCTCTACTCCCTCATTGTTAACGTCTTAGAGTTGAGTGGCAAAATACTCTCTTTCCGAGGTTATTCTAGAATTAACTATTTCTTATCATATACTTCTTTTTTGATAAGGTCACTTCTTATGATACTTTTCATGATATAATTCGATTTTTCTTATTATGTCATTTAAGATAACTAAGTTTGTAATCACATTTTTCTAGGCATCAGCCCCATTCCCCAATAGCTTCTAAAGAAGAATCTTGAAGCCAAGGCAACAAAGAACAAGAACCCAACAGATACGAATAACGAATATTTGGATCAGTAAACATAAACAAAGTCACAAACAGAACCACAGGAAACTGATTTTAGTTTTTTGCATGTTCAATATAAAGGTTGGTTCTTTTTGGAACATGGAGAATCATTGGTAAAGTAGAGATAGGTAACCACCTCTGATAGAAATTGCCTTCTGTCTTTTACCTCATTCTCTCCTCTCTTTTTTTTTGATGAAAATTTAGGGTTATTCTAACAGACCTTCAGTCAACACTAGCTTCCCATTAAAAGACTCAAACAGGTTTTTCTTGGTAATTCATAAGTTTAAATTTCCAGAAAGTTGATAATACTGTTTAAGACTAACTAGTATACCATCACAACATCCAACTATTATCACATCGGAAGCATACATCCTTTTGCACATTCAAAATTATATGGAAATAAATATGAAGATGGTAGCTGGCATTTGAGAAAGAAAAAAAAATCAAGCGCTTAATCAAGGTCTTACCATATGAGGAGAGCGACCACAATGCGAAATCCCACATTTTCACTCTAATGCTTGATTCATGAGCTGTCACTGATACAAAAATTGGCGATACATTAAGAGTGCAAAAACATTACAAATTGTAATCAAAAGGATGTGAGTTCTATATCTCCCACATCGAAAAGATAATATTGTCTCTAGCAAATTGAGGCTCAAATGTGTCATGATAAGGGAAGCCTTGGAGCAACGGTAAAGTTGTATATGTGTAACCTATTGGTCACGGGTTTGAGCTGTGGAAACAACAATTAATGCTTACATTAGGGTATACAGTCTACATCACACACCTTGAGGTCGGCCCTTCCCCGAATCCTGCGTAAATGCAGGATGCTTTGGGCACCGGGCTCAGGGGCGAAGCTATGTTGGCCCAAGGGTGGTATCCTTCGCCCAAAAATAATACTATATAAGGTAAAATATTACTTGTTATTGATTAAATATAGACTTTGAACACCCTTGCATAGCCCACTGGCAAAGGGTGTTCAAAATTTGAACACCCTTATTGAATTATGTGTTACAATAAGGCAGAATAGAAGCCACAACCACTCCATGACTGCAAAACACCGGTTGCATGTGAGAGAAGAGTCTCAATCACAAGCCATACCGGGTGCCACGCCAAGATACGGGTCGGGTAATCTCTATGCCCCAATTAGTTTAGCCCAGATATAGTAAAAATAATTATCATCCTACATCTTTAGTATAGTTGATTGTATTGGGTTTTGAGTATACGTGAGGGGTGCAAAAATGCAAAGAAACCCAAAAATTAAAGTGTTAATCATCTCTCTTTCTCTCTTGCTTTTTTTAAGGGCTGTTGGTTTGTTAAAAGAAATGGTAAATCATAGGGGAAACGGAGAGGGGTAACCACCCTTTAAAGAAAATCCCATACTTTCTCTGTTGCCTCATTCTCACCATTTCTGGCTAATCTAATCCATATGAAGGATAATATAATTCAGCAGGTTTTCGGGAAAATGATAAAATAGAATGTAAAAGTGTACACTTTTCAGGAGAAAATTACAAAAATGATCTCTTATCTTTGAGGGAGGTGATACTTGACGTAACTGGTAAAGTTATCGTATGACAGGAGGTCAAGTTTTCGACCCGTGAAAATAGCCTCTCTTGCAATAATGCAGATAAGGCTGCATACAATAGAGCTTTGTGGTCCGGCCCTTACCGGACCCGCGCACGGCGGGAGCTTAGCGCATCGAACTGCCCGATCACTTAAGGTAGATTTATGATGGTCGTTTGCAAAAACTTTACTATTTCGGTCTCCATCCATTTCTAAAACGGAAAAGGGCCAAATATAACCCTCAATTTTAAGGCTCGGATCTGTGATAAAATCAGCAGAGACAATGCAACCTCCATGGCTGCGGACCTCAGTTGCAACCATAGAGATGCCTTCCGAGTCGCCCCGCCAAGATATGGACCTCTTAAATAGTGCTTTTCAGCACTTGGAAAGCTACTTTAAATTCAGCTAAGCCAAACAAGCTCTCACTTTAAATTTTGAGGCCCATATCTGTGATAAAATCAGTCCATGGAGACAATCCAACCGCCATGGCTGCAGACCCGGTTGCAACCACGAAGATGCCTTCCGGTTTGCCCCGCCAAGATACGGGTCGCTCCATTTGCCCGAACCAACTCAAGACACCTGTAATCATCACAGCCTCATCATCCGTCACATTAAAAGCTAGCCATAGGAAAAGGGAGTAAAAGAAGTGAAGAAGCAGAAGCAGAAGCAGATTATGGGTTTAGATAGTAAACCCTAAACCGTAAAAAGGGATTTTTTACAGTTGCAAGTTTAAGGGGCAATCTATGTCCATTTTCTAGCAATGGTGGTTTATTAGTACAACAAAATGGAAAAGGAAATCATAGGGAACAGAGAGAGGGCAACCACCATTAGAGACTCCCAACTACCTCTCTGCTTCCTCATTCTTTCTCCGTCTAGAGTTGAGTGGCAAAAAACTTTCTTTCCCAGGTTACTTTATTGGGAAAATGGCACTGGTATAATCACTCTGTATATATATCTTTTTGTGTATAAAAAATATATACATTTTATCTACATTTTCCATTATCAACATTAAATTAATAGCCCGTTTAGCGATTTTTTTTTTTTTAATCAAAAGTGCTTTTGTCAAAAAATTATAAAAATTGCCCGAGGCACTCTATTTAGTCATAGTGAATTGTTATAACACTTTATTTTTACTATTGCTTAGGGTTTTTTCTTCTTTTTTTTCTTAATTGCAAAATGAGTTCATTAGATTTATTGTTGTTTTGATAAATTAATGATTGTGGTTTGTTCATGATGATATTTGGAGGTTATGTTTCAAATTTGAGCTCATTTAGAATAGATTTAGGTATTAAATCGTATATTAGATTGTTATAATTCGAAGAACAAATTTCTGTTTCTGGACAATTTGCATTTTAGGCCTAATAGGCCTAAAGTGCATAAAAACGTTGGTAACACTTCAGACCTTTTGGCTTTAAGTGCATCTGAAGTGCAATTTTTCACTTCAGACTTATCGGTCTTACGTGTAGCAAAACGTTTGTTTCACTTTAGAGGCCTTAAGTGCATCCGAAGTATAATTTTTCACTTCAGACTTATTGGTCTTAAGTATAGCAAAACATTTGTTTCACTTTAGAGGCCTTAAGTGCATCTGAAGTACAATTTTTCACTTCAGACTTATTGGCCTTAAGTGTAGCAAAACGTTTGTTGCACTTCAAAGCTTTTGGCATTAAGTGCATATGAAGTACAATTTTTTCACTTCAGACTTATTGGTCTTAAGTGTAGCAAAACGTTTGTTGCACTTCAGACCTTTTGGCCTTAAGTGCCTCTGAAAGTGTAACTTTTCACTTCATACTTATTGGCCTTAAGTGCATGAAACCATTGGTTACACTTCAGACTTATTGGCCTTAAGTGAATGAAAACGTTTGTTGCACTTCACACCTTTTGACCTTAAGTGCCTCTAAAAGTGAAATTTTTTACTTCAGACTTATTGGCCTTAAGTGCATGAAACCATTGGTTACACTTCAGACCTATTTGGCCTTAAGTGCATCTCTATTTGGCCTTAAGTGCATTTGAAGTGCAAATTTTCTCTTCAGACCTATTGGCCTTAAGTGAATGAAAACGTTTGTTGCACTTCAGGCTTTTTGGCCTTAAGTATAATTTTTCACTTCAGACTTATTAGCCTTAAGTGCATGAAACCATTGGTTGCACTTCAGACCTATTTGGCCTTAAGTGCATACGAAGTGCAATTTTTTCACGTCAGACTAATTTTTTTTAACTTCAGACCCGATAAGTCTGAAGTTGATCGTAAAGTGGGTACGCTTGCAAACTTTTTTGCAAAGTGAGTGTAGGTTCAATTGTGACCCTAAAATCGGGTATAGATATAAAATCCCCCCAAAAATTGAGGTGTTTGGTCAAGCTCTTAGAAGGAAAAAAATGCTTTTGAGCAGAAGCAGAAGCAGATTTTGAGAAGCAGAAAAATGTAGCTTCTCTCCAAAAGCACTTTTCTGAGAAGCACTTTTGAGAAAAATAACTTAGAAGCAGTTTTCAAAAGCTTGACCAAACACTAATTACTGCTCAAAAATGCTTTTCAAATTAATTAGTCAAGCATAAACCGATTCTCATCAAAAATACTTTTTTGAAAATTACTTTTAAAAAAAGTACTTCTCAAAATAAATAGATTTTAGAACCATGGCCAAACAGGCTATAAGTCTTTCTACACTCAATCTTATTACTCGAAAATTTTAGGCTTTTTTTAAAAAAAATTATGTTATTTAAATTTATTTACATTTGTTCTAGTTCTTAAATTGTTTTTACCCTTTTGTTGCTAGCAATCCAAACGCCAAAGAAACTAGATTCAAATTGACAGATTATGGAAGTAAATTTTTGCTTAAATAAGTACACAATTGGATATAGGTACCAAAAATCATGAAAGATTTCCAGAAGTTAATTTAACTTTTTTTTTCAATTGATCAAAATATAATAATAATCCAAACTTCAAAAAAAATCAAGTTGACAAATAATGAAAGTAAAAATAAATAACATCAATCATATCAAGCATATCCAGTTGCCCACTTCCAAATTCACAGATATACAAATTTACAAACTTAGGCTTCAGTGCGAACCTCGGATTAAATTTTGAATAGGCTTTTCGCATTGAATATATTGTTTATAAAATTATAAGTTCAAAATTCAATATATGTTAAAATTTTAACAATTTTTACGTATATATTTATGTGCAATGTCAGAAAAAATTGGGTTCAAGCTGACCAATTTTGATTATAGGCTGCCTCGTGATATCATAAAGCTAGTACAAGAGTCTTATTAGGTGCTATGGAAACAAATATGAACTATATATTCAAACAATAACAACATACCTAGTATTATCTCATACTGTGGGGTCTGTGGTATATATTCAAACAACACAAAATAAAGATTTAGCAACAAACTCAGGTTCAGTGAAACAACAAAGAGAGGGTAAGCAATTACTCACTGAAAGTTTCAGCTCATGAACATCTAGCAAACGTAAATCCTAGAGCAATTATATCTACAATTTATAGTAATGTAAATTTATAGTCTTGATTCGACATTTTCATTTTAGACAGCTTCACGCGTGATTGCCATCGCAACAAAAGTTAATTGAAGAGCTTCTCAACACTCATGCTATTTTTTCAGATTGCTTGCAAACTATGTGCTTCCTCATTGTAAGTGTTGATACTCAATTTTCCCTCATATCTTTTCAAATAATATATATACTTTCAAAGTATTATTTGCTTCATTACTTAATTCACAAGAGTTATACAAGTATTTTCTATAGTTTTCAGAATTTTTAAAGCTTTAAAATTGATTTTCTTGCATTTAAATTACTTGAATATGCATTAATTACCCCTTAAATTATTTTGTGATGACTTAATCATCCAAAGTTATTATTTGCATCCATATATATATTTCAGAATACTTTACTTTATTTTATATAATTATATTTGTATTTTTAAGCTATTTTACATAATTTTGCAGTAATAGCCTATATGATGTGCATAATCACATTTTATTACATTATTTGTGCTCAGAATAGCATTTTTATATTTTTAAATGTTAAACTATTATTTTAAAATATCTTACTACATAAATAATACTTTTACTATTTGTTAATTACTTTTTATAAATATTTTTTATAATTTTTTCGGGTATTTAATTTGGAGCCTAATTTGGAGCCAATTCTGGACCAATTTAATGGCCCAAACGTAAAAAATCTCTAAGCCCAATCTTCCCAACCCAAACCAGACGACCCCTTTAATCTTAACCCGGTCGGTACCCATTTAAACGACCCGCCCCACGCCTTTTTCGATCTTGGCCGTTGATCTCAAATGATCAACGACCCATAATAAATCCCTACCCTTTCCTTATATCCCCTCACCCAAAACTCTAATCCCATTCCCACACTCTAGCCGCCCCTAAATCCTCTCTACTCTCTTCTTCTCTCATAAACCCTTGCCGTTGTATCTCTGAACCCCTCCAAATACGGCCCTAAAATGGAATCAATCATTGATTCACTTACCTATTTTGTGGTAATTCACTATTGTACATATGCATGTGGTGTTACTTAGTTCTTGCCCTATTTTTGCAAGAACTACCTCTCAAAATCATGCCCGGATGACTTCGATCTTCAAGGATTTAGACGTATTTTGTCTACATACACTTGAAAGGAGGCAATGCCTACACTCCTAGTTCGATTTATAGTTGGTTGAACCCAACTAGTGTTTGATATCTCCATCTCCTTTACTGACTCTGATTGCATGGGATCTTTTCTTTCCTTTTCTATGTTTAGATTTATTGTTTTTCATGTTTTGTTTGCTTAATCAACCACTATATAAACCCCTCCCATAATCCCCTTTTATGGGACTGGAAGAACTATTCTCTCTTACTCTCACTCACTCGATACTATTCTGAATCTATTGTTTTTGGCCGGCTGAAAGTCAAGGCCACCAAAATTTGCATTCTCAACCTCCCCAGTGTGAGCACTGCTCGGGACTCATCAGAAGTCCTTGTGAACTCTAACACACTTGGATTGGGGTCTTGTTGTCCTCTATTGCTACTGATTTTTGAAGGATTACTGAAATTTACTCTTCTCCTTTACTTGTTCGTTAGTTTATACTGGTAAGCATCTGTGACTCTCGCAATTTCATCTTCTTTCTTGTGTTCATGACTTGTGTATTTATGCCACTTGAGCTTCAATGAGCCAATACAATATTATTCCATATTTGCTTATGGTTCTTTGGTGTTTTATTAAGTTGTCTTGTAGTTCTATGCTTTTCTAGCCTTAAAACTTGCCTAAAACTCTAAGTTAGCTATACACTCTTGATTTCTGACTCCCTTAGGTCTACTTAGCCCAATGTGTGTATGTGTGCCTGAATTCTTACACCTACTATTTGTGCTCATCATGAAAGACCCTCACTACTTTAAGCATGCCTAACCGAGTGTGTGTTACCTGCCACTCTTCCTGAGTTTATCTCCCTACTCTATTCTACATCCTGGATATATCAACTCGTGTGTTCTATGTATTTGATACTCTACTAGGACTAATGCCTAACTATGCTATCAGCCCAAATATGGTATCCTATTAATTGTGTGTTTTAATGTGTGTTACATGCCTAATTCAATCCTGTGTTATTTTATACTACTTCCCACTTATAAGGTGAACTGCAACATCCCCTATTACTTATGTGTGGTCTGACAATCTAGTTCAATATGTCCCTACTTACTATAAACTCTGGCTCTCTTAAACTTGTTTAGTCTACTATGTTATGTTAATGCTTGTTGATTGATCTTGAGGTTGCCTCTCTGCCTTGTTCTAGACTGTTATGTAAACCAACTCATGCCTAGAGTGTATTTTAATTCTTGGTGAGTCATTCATACCTAACTTGTAATCTGTCTTGGACCCTAATGTTCATTACAACTTGTTCTCATCTCTATTGTGTATCTGTTGACT